GTGGGGAAATGTAGAAATTCGTTACACAGTTTGGTCACCTTCAGTGAGGCATTTACTTGCTGAAGATGTCAAGTCTCATGCATTCAATGACTGCATCATAAAGGGCTTAATGAGGCTGAGAAGCAGGTTGATTCAAACAGGGTGAAATGGTTACAAACTGAAGCTGAGTTGGTGAATTTTTATTTTTTTTTCCTTCTGTACACTGTTTTAAAACCCACTGAATGGGAGTAGTTTGTGATTTAATCTTCTTTTGTGTTAAATGTAGTATATATTAAGTTTATTTCTTCCCTCAAACTGACAAATGTTTTGACACCTATTTTTCAGTCTTTGTAATTATGTAATTGCACTTAGAAATAAAAAATATATAAACACCAAAATCCTGTTTGTACACAAGCTTGAAAACGTTCAGTTTAATTGTTTGAAGCCTGATCAGCAAATGTTTACTTTTGTTTATTCTGGGATATATAATATCCCAATAGTGGCAAATGGAAATTTGTTTGTCTTTCAATACAAACATGTGTTTTTCAATGTTTTTCCTCACATAATTCGCTCATTAATTAAACAGCTGGAATCTGGCATTCTACAGTTGTTTATTTCGAAGCCTGAATTCCAGAGAGAAGCATTGAGGGTTGTTGGTTTTCTTCTGAGTGGACGTTAAGCGCTGTCTGTGACTGACTGCAGGGAGAAAAGACAACTGCAATTAGTGCAGTGGTTTAAACATAAGCAGTGTAAAATTCATAAATACCATATGCACAAAAAATAGCAATTATTCTGATGATTATTTTTTTTACACAATATTATAAATAGATAAAAACATGCTTATAATTAAATTCCTTTCTAAAATAAGAAAAACAGTTTTGACCTTAAACTGCAATATTAATAAAATGGTGTCATTTATGCTGAAATGTATATTAAATAAGAGACATGTTGCTGTTGAACTGGTTTATAGTTGAAACCAGATAGCCACACAGATGCTCTGTATGAACAGACAACCAGGTTTGGTTTATCTGACTAATGACATGCAGCATCTTTACTCGCCTACAAGTATGTTAGTCAGTTCTAAAACTTTGATCGTAGCCATCATTCATGAGGACATTTCACCTTTTCCGCCGTTAGCTGGGCCTCTGCTGGAGCTTTCTCCTGGCCTTCTGGTTTCGACTCGCTCTGTGAGGAAGGCGCTGTTGCCACATCATTAAGCTTGGCCTCTGTGTTGGGCTTTTCGGTTTCTTCCTCTGAAATCTTTGGCCGCTTGGGAGATTCCTATCGAAGTGCAGCGAACGTTGAGGACAGCCTAGCAGTGATCTAACTGTGACGGTTTGGACAATCTGACAAACCAAAGCTCACCTCTGTGGACTCCTCTGCTTTTCGTTTAGTCCCTCCCCTCTCGTTCTTCTCGTCGATGACCAGAGTGCCCTCCTCTTCGTCACTGCTGCCCTCAGTGTTGGCTTTCTCTGCTATGTCTCCGGTAGCTTCCGATGAGTTCTCATTCTTTGCTGACTAAAACGAGAATAAAGTAAATCTAAAAGTCACCATGAACCAAGAGATAGACATCCATTCATAAAACATTCTACAGAACAGGATTAGAGGTTAAGAACTTATTGTGCTTAATATCTGTTGCATTGATCGAGTCAATATTTTATAAAACAAAACCTTAAACCACAAGCAACAAAATGGAATCATACAGGAATTAGGAACTGCACAGAAGGGAAACATGTGATAATGGTGGTGAAAATTTAAATAAAAACAACATATATCAACATATACAGTATTAACCACTTTCATTGCAAACCAATACCCCTGACAGTGAGGAATTAATAAAGCCATTGACAAAAATCACAACCAAAGATTCATTATATTTATCTCAACACAGTGGTTTATTGAAAACACTTTTGTATTTGAGGTTATGGTGCGAAAAAAAGAGAAAATCCAAACATTTTAGTGCTCCCTTGGAATGTTTTCTGCTGCTTTAACCAGTAAAGCATCCACAAATATATCAAACAGAAACCCGATTATTTGATGCGTCTATCAATCTGACCAGTTGTTTGCAATATTGATGGTTTGCACAGTGATACACATTCATTCAGGCAGACTACCAACCTCGTAGGCTTCGTGAGTGACAGTGGGGTTGTTCTCAATTTCCCAGAGTCCCTCAGCAAAGCCTTTCCTCTTGTTGGTCTTTCCAAATTTCTCCTTGCATTCCTCATATGAGAAAAGATCCTTGGCCCCCAGAAAAGCCCTGTGATCATCGAACATTTGAGATTAACCAAAATCTGACATCAAGTTCACAACAAAAATATTTCGACAATGACAGAGCTCTGCAAGCAACATATTATCACCTATGACAAAATGCATGTCAGTGATTGATCAACAATAAAAGTAATGAGTAATAACATTGCCGTTCAAAATATATCATGTTTTAAGGATTTTTTTTTATGCAACATTTTTTTAGTGTGTACCAAGATGTGAGCATTGAGGCTGCACAGTAATTGATATCTGACCAATCTAAAATAGTAAAGTGGCACGGTTATTGACATTTCTCCTGCACAAAGTAAACTAACAACAGGTTGAGCATAAAATACTTACGTCTCATGTGTTCCAAAGAAGAACACCTGGTACTTATTTGAGGGTGACTTCACAGCTCCTTCGGGTAGTTCATCAATCTGGAAAAGAAGAGGAGATGAATAATAAAATGCAAAGTTAACAAAAAGAAAAATGGGAAAGGATGCTTTCTCAAACTATTTAAATCAACAGTCTGAGTCTCATAATTTAATGTCAGTGAATTGCTGAACATCCTTTCTGTGTGCCTTTTGGGCCTGTCATTCTTCTGGCATCAATAGCCTTTCAAAAGGGCATAGCAAAGTACGGGGGGACAAAAACACCACCAGAATGATGGACAGACGTAGTGACCATTTGCCTCTGCCAGACGGGGCTTTTGGCATTCACCAGATAGGAGCGTTTTGAGCTGGTAATTGGGGCTGGGCCCAAATTCTGTTGAGATGAAGCTGATAAAATTGAATAAAGGGAGGGAAAAAACTGTGCCAAAAGTTACCGTCACAGCTGAAAGTAAAGAGTAATCTGTCTGCAATAACCTTTATTGAATAAAAGGGTATTAATTACTCACATTTACTAAGGTAACTTCTTGAACAATCACATTTTACTTTAGTAAAGTTATGTTTAAATATTACTTCAGTGCAATTTGGGGTTGTAAGAAAAATGAGAGAGACACAACTCTCCATTTCATTTAAAGGGTAAGAAAAAACATGAAAATTTAAAACTTCGCCCCAAAATACAGGACCTGGTCAAACTGTATAAGCACATAGAAATGTCCAACGACCAAGGGATCCTAATGTGGCAAAAAATGAACCCTGGGACGAACAGTGTCTGTCTTAAACGATAAGCTAAAGACCGTTTCAACGTGAGAAGCAGCGCAGTTGTGAGGCCAGGTGCGCATGTTTACAAACAGCGAAGCATAAAACCGTCATGAACGAGTCAGTAATTAAACAGCTGTAAAGAAAACAAACACATCTAATATGCATTTAATGGCGATAAATTACTTAGTGCGTCGTTGTACCACAGGCTAAGCTGTTAGTTAACGTTCACTCCGGGTCAGCGGTTATCGGCGCTTGACATGACCGTTAGAGTTAGTGGCTCACGCGCTGCTCCCTGTAACGGCTGCGAAGAGCTTAAAGTTAACGCTAGCCCCTCCAAAGGCCTCAGGGGACACGAAAGCGGCACATAACGAGAACTAACCAATAAGTAAATGACAGCATCGGTTCTTTTATAAGACGCCTGCAATTTGTATGTTATGGTGCGCACGAAAGCAGAGTGTAATCGCTAACTATTGGGTCTTTTCGTTTACGCTGGCTAAAAACGGCCGCGCTAAGCTAACTCATGGTAGCTGGTTACCGTTAGGCCTCTCGGGTGAACAAGTGGAAGGCAGAACGGCAGCAGCAGACGGACAAATTCAAGTTAGCAGCACAGTCAAAGCTGGAAGCTAAACATGTTACGGCGGGAGCTTACCCTTGCAGGCCAGTGTGGATACCCCTTCATTTTAGCAAACACCAGGTCTCCAGGTTTGTATTCCTTTTGCCTGTTGGATCTCGGCATGGTTCTGGTTGAATATCAGATATGTGTTTGAATAAAAAGAAATGCTGGTGTGGCTTAAAATTTATTGTGAACACCTTCTGCGACAAAACCCAAAGCAGACTGTCGATTTGATAACCAAATAAACAAACCAGGCGCGGAAAAATTGAAGCTAAGACGCAGCGGGCTATTTTTTCCTTCGTTCTTCTTCTTTGGATTCAGAGCAAGGAAAATAACCCACAGACAAAAAATAAGAGAGCAATTTCTGCGCTACATAAATGTCTACTGGTTAGCGAGAAATATGTTCTACCGAGTATAAACGTTAGCCCGTCCTCCGGACTATTTAGGTTTGAAATGGAAACCCGCTTTCCTCGACAGACGCGCCCCCCAGTATTTACATGGAATCAAAACACAGCGCCCCTACTGGCCAGAACTTCACATCAAAGCAAATTTCTCAAACATGAAATTGTGATCAAGTACATGGGTGACGTCGAGACTAAAACCTCGACCTTTATTCTTGACTATCTATAAATGCTTAATGTATTTCTGACCTTAATGCTGAGATCAAGGTCAGACCTTAATCTTAACATTCATCTCAATTTCTGACCTTAATCTCAGAATACTGAAATGTTCAACATTCGAAATGCTTAGATTAATTTCAAAATGTGGTCTTCTTCTTAAAATAATGGCCCAAGTCTTTTTTTCTTTATTTGTTTATTTTTTTCCCCTAAATCATTCCTCGGCAATAAGAAGGGGTGATTTTTTTTCACTTTGTTTCCACCCAAAATCACTTAGGCCATTATTTCAGGAAGGTGACGATATACATCTACTTTTCTGTAACATTGAAACGCACAAGTATTTAGGACGAGAACCTGTTGTTTTACTACCAGATCATTAGGTGGCGCTATAGTTTCAGTGCTGCTGTCAATAGCACAGGAAAAAGAAGTCGGCGGTCGTCCTCAATCACTGGATGATGAAGGCGAATGTTTTGATGGAGTCAAGGGAGTACTGGGCGTAGTTTACGAATGCAGAGTAACTTTAAAGCGACACGCTGTGTTCGTTTTGCTCAGTCGTAGACATTATAGTTAACATTTCTGCATCCGGGCAAGAAACTGCGCGAAGATAGGTCACGGTGGCCTAGCTAGCATTCGCTAGCTCCGTGCTTCCAGTTGATCAACTCAGCCCGACTTTAATGCTCTAATCGCTGTTATTTTATGTGTTTAGCATAGAAAGTCTTGCATTAAAAACTCGGGTCACCTCACCTGGAAACACGCTTGTGCGGCTTTTTCAGAGCGACTCATCCATGTCCACTAGTTCCTCCATAATACTAATCCTCGGTAGCCTCAGCAAACATGTCTCTAGTCGCTTATGGTAGCAGTGATGAGAGTGACTCGGAGGAAACCTCGACCTCCGCCGCAGCTGAGAGTAAAGCAAGCGGGGGAGGGCTCTTCTCTTTCCTGCCTGCGCCTAAAGCATCTGGATCTGCAGCTGGAGGGAAGGAGGCAGCATCCAGAGCAAAAAACTCTGCAGCAAAGGAAAGCACAGGCGGGTTCCTGTCCAGTCTGCCCAAGCCCAAGAAACGAACAGAGCCTGTCAAGATCCCTGTGCCACAACTTCAGAGGCGGGATGTAAGTTGAATCAGACTCCTGATCATGCGCAGTGCTTCCTCTGGTTGGCCTGAGATGATCATTTCTAGTCATTTTTATTTACAGTCAGACTCAGATGAAGATGAGCCAGTCCCAAAGAAGCTGCAAACCCAGGTAAGACGGGGCAATCAGTCGGCCTCTCACGATGATAACAATATATTGTTCCAGAATTTATTGCGATAAACGATAATGTTGTTTTGAGACAATTTTTAAGCAATATGATGGTAATGGCAAAATCATACTTCAAGGACACTTTCTAAAAGATCAGTAAACTTTAAATTATAATGAACATTTAACACTGGAACTAGAAAATAAATATTCTAAATAAATAAAACGAAAAATAAAATTAACTTTCACATCTGTGTAAACAAAATTGTCCTTCAAAATAAGGGCTAGTTGAGACCAAATCACCAAACATAAGACTTTGATCATTCAGTTTTTGGTAGAAAAAGAATAAAAAAGAGATGAACAATAAATTATGCCAATGAAAATTATTGAGTTTGTTTTAATTTATTATGCTATTTATTGATTATTGTGACAGGCCTAATAACCGGTGTTTATCTCATTAGTACTCACTTCAGCGTAGTTTATTGGAATTTTATGAGACAGACCAAATCAAGAGTTGCACAGAATTGTGAAGTGGTAGTAAAATTAAATGGAGCTTAATTTAAGCTGTTCTGTCCAAAACTGTAAACTACATCAAAAAATCCAAATGACACTACAGAGAGATCAGCGACAAAGTTTTGAAGAGGTTTAAAGTAGATCTAACAATTATTTTAGTTGTTGATTATTCTGGCATTTGTTTGATTGTATAAAAAATTGACACATTTTGTAGATTTTTAATTTAAGCTTTTTTATACAATATTAAAAATACATCAGTGATGTGAATCATCAATTCAATTCATTTTTTAAATAAGAAAAAAAAAGCATTCCTTTAGAGAATCTGAACTGGGTGAAGCTAAAACTATTGTGACTCTTGGAGTTTTGGGTAAAACATTTACTGAGTTTTTTTTTTTTATGAAAAATGTATATATAGCTTGTACATTTTTGACTTGATTACTGCTCTGAATATTTCTGGCGTTTTGGGGCTGTGTGCTCCAATTAATAATTTATTTGATTTTTAAAAATAATCTAGCTCTTTTCATTTCACCTTCTGAAGTTCAAAGGAGTCGTAAACCTATCAAGAAAAACTAAAACTCCTTTGAGTTTGTCACTGTAACAGGAATCATTCCCATTTTAACCAGTTTGACCGTTCCTCTCACCAGAGTGCCGGTTCAGGTTCAGGTCTGTCCTCCATTCTCCCCAAACCCAAAAACCTAACAGTGAAGGAGACGGACCGACCTTTGATCCCTCACACTCTCACTAAGCGTCCAGACCCCAAAGCACCTAAACCTGGAGCTGCTGCTTCGGGTCTGATCGGTTCCAGTGCGTCTCCCTCCGCCATCAAAGCCGCGGCCAAGTCAGCGGCCCTGCAGGTGGCGAAGCAGATCGCAGCAGAAGACCAGAACGAGGAGGACATAACCCCTCAGAACTACTTTTCCCTTGAGGACAACTCCCAGCCTCTTCCTGACGTCGTCCCCATTGTGGATCCTGAGCCGGCGACCCCAGCCGAGCCCTGTCCTTACGTGGCCGCTGATGAGCCGGGACTGTCGAACGCACCTTTGGACTTTGGAGGGAGCCATGAGGGAGCGAGCGCATGGGACGGTCAATACGACCAGTATCAGCAACCTATGGCCGGCCCAGAGGCGTTCCCCGAGGTAAAAGCAACTATTTATAGGAGCCAGCTCGAGTAATGCACTTTGTGCTCAACTCTTTACTTATACAATCTGACCTGATATGTAACTAAAGCCAACTATCACTCCAACTAACATTCAGTATAGGAATCAGTTCATTTAATTCTGTAGTTTATTCATTTAACCTCTTAAGCTCTTTTATGCAATATTAGAAAGACATTAAAATATGCAAACAATCACATTTCTTTTAAAAAACAAATACATTTATTTATTTTTACCTAATTTAGCATTTCTTTAGTGAATTTGACCTGAGTGAAGCTAAAATCGCCATTCGAGGAGTTTTGGATAAAACATATTGACAGGCAAATGTGAAGTTTTGGATTAATTTCTGCTCTGAATGTTTTTTTCCAGCAAATAGCTTTTTTTTTTTTTTTTTTTTTTTTTGAGTATCTATACTCCAATTAGCTATTAATCGATTACTAAATTAGTTGCCAATTGTTTCAGCAATTGATTGGATTAATCATTTCAGCCCTTAAGCCAACATTTTCTCAGTTTGTTGTAAATAAATGAATACTTTGGTCCTATCTATAAATATAATAAAGCTGTACTTCAGGTGACTTTTGTTTTCATTTAAAGGGTTACTATGACGCGCCGTACTACCAGAACCCCAACTCGGAGTTAGCAGAAGCCGAGCCGCCGGACAACTCCACCATGTTTGACGACGAAGGGGTAAGAAAGAATTGCAGTTTAATAAAACTGCCTTTCTGAGCCCGTTTAAAGGCAGACTTAAAATTTGCAAACCACCACAAACTCCTTCTCGCTTGCCTGCTGTGCAGTTCATGCGGCTGCAGGGGAAAAGAAACCGAGGCAAAGAGGAGGTGAAGTTTCTGGAAATCAAAGGAGACGACCAGCTGAGTGGGAACCAGCAGTGGATGACGAAGAGCATCTCTGAGGAAAAACAAACCCGCCAGTCGTACAGCAAGGTGAACGATTTGCACGAGCTCTGTGTGGTTTTGCTTAAAAACGGGAAACGTACATAAAAACACTAGAAGTAATGATGCGTTTAAATCTGACGGTAGTGCTTTTTGATGTTTCTGCAGAGAAGAGGAGACCAGCCTACAGGGCAACAGAGGCGAAAGCATCAGATAACGTATCTCATTCACCAGGTGAGCAGCTGCTGAAAGATGCAGAGATTTAAATAATAACTCTTGGAAACATTAAACCATAAAGGAGAAGTTTCATTGATCAGTGTTTACATTTCTTTTTCATTTTAAAAAACACTTTAATTTGCATTTTATGTCACAAGAGCACAAATTCTGCCTAACGGGGAAATAGATGGAAAATTATACATGTGGTTTTCTCTGCGTTAGCATCGAAACAATTTAGCTGTAATTTTTGGGTTTTTAATCAAACAACTTCCAACAATTTTACTGGAGCCAGAATTTATCATTTTTAATAGTAGTTCTTCATAATGTGCATTTCACCTGCTGCAATAACAATAAATTTACAAAATACTGTGTTGCTCTAATCTGTATAAACATGTATTTTTAAGACTGTCACATTGACTTAGGTCCATACTTTGACTAGGCCATTTTAAGCACATAAATATGCTTTGAACTGCATGGGGATGGTGAGTTGTGGATGGACAGTGTTAGTTTTTCGCTCACACCGTTTCTGCTCTTCAGGTCAAAAAGTTAAGTTTTGGCCTCCGAACTAAACTGTGGAAGAGGAATACCGATACGCCCAAATGTTTTCTTTGTTTATTTATGGAAAAAATACTTGAAAACCTTATTTATGTCCTGTGTTAGTGCATCACATAAAATCTAATTGAAAATGGAAAATATTCACAGTATAAGTACTTTAAGCTGTTTTATACTATTGTAAAAAAAATCCTGCAGATTAACAGACTAGCTAATGGTCAATGTGTGATTTGTATATATATAATACATAGAATTTCTGAATTTTCTTGGTTTGCTTGTTCCCAGGCGAAGGAACGTGAGATTGAGCTGAAGAACAACTGGGCAGAAAACAGGATGACCCGGCGTCAGACCCAGGCCAAATATGGCTTCTAGATCCTGTATCTTTGGACTGCTGTGGCGTACAGACACATCGTATCCCAACTTACCGATATCCAGATTTATCCTCTTCCTTTAGGAGCAAAACCTGTTCCTTTCTTCCTGATCTGCAGCCTGCAATGTCTTGAACTGATAATACTCTGTTTGATATGGTGTTACTCTGTCCGAATCCCGGTCACTCCTAGTAAATACAAAGAAACCCAACCGGTGTTTTTAAGGTACCAGAGCCACACATGTTTTTCCTTTGGATGTTTATAAAACATATTCATGGTATTTTCTAAGCTCTGGTTTATTTTTGTTGTGCATTTAGTTGTTTTTAGTTCCAATTTAAAGATAGACAGTTCGACGTAAAATATTCACTGAATCATCACCTAATCAGTAAATTATGCTGCAATGACGACTTTGTCGAGAGCTAACTATGCGCTTAAATTTGGTCAATATTTGTTGCAAAAAAATAAATAAAATTAAGTCTTTAAAAATTTAGTCCCACTCCTTGAAAAGAAGAATTCTCATTTTTAACGTAAAAATTCTTGACTTTTTTGCCTCAGAAATCTTAAAGTAGATTCAGAATTTCCTAATAATTCTTGGGTATTTAAGACAAAATTTTAAGAAAAACCCCCCTCAAAATTCTGACTAATCCCAGATTTTTTTCTTCTTCAAAAAGTCTGAGATTGAAGGAAGATTTTTGATTAATATTAATGTATGAATTCTTGACTTTTTGCCTCAAAAATCAGAATAAAATAAAAAAATTGTGTTTAATCTAAGAATTTTCAGGTAGGGAATTACGAGATTACAGCTAAATTCTAAGAAACAAAAGGCACAAATTCCTTTTTAGAAATTCTCAACTTTTTCCAATTCCAAGAGTGAAATTTTGAGCAAAAATAGTTTTGCCTTAAGTAAATTTCCCAGAAAAAAACTAAATTATTAGATTAAATCCAGAAAACTAAATGTGGAAACTGTCAAAATCTCAAAATTGTCTTGTTTCTCTCTTTTTTTTCAATTTTTGTCATAATTTTCATATTAAAGTCAGATTTTTTAGTTATTGGGCTTTTATTTCTAGATTATAACTTTTATCTCAAAATTTTGAGATTAAACTCAGAATTCAGGCTTTAATCTGTTAAATTGACTAATTTGAGATTTTTTTTCCCCTCTCAGATTAAGTCGTTTTTTCTGTGATGCTGTTCTGTAGCAAACATCTCAAGTTATTTAATTTTACTTGGAGTTCTAGAAATGTGTGACACCTTTCTTTTTCTTCTGCGGGTTTCAGACATTTTAGGTTCAATCTGAACAATTTGATCGCAGGGTTGTTGGGAGAAACTGTGAATTTCAAAAGCCCAAACTAAACTGTCCAGATGGACACATTTGCATCTTCTTCCGTTTTCACATCTGATGTAAACTATAGGAGCAGCTCTGTACATATTATATTTCTCTGAAATGCCAGGTAAACCCTCCAGTAATAATGTGCTGGTTTTCTCCAATAGCTTAGCGATGCTAACAAGACACCAGTAGGATTTCTTTAAAAGCCTGTAAATGTGAACAGATCCAACTCGACACCAGATAAAAACCCAAATGTTATATATCGGCAGTAAAAAGGTGAATTTGTAGTCAGAAAGGAATTTAAGTTACAGAAGTTTAAATATATACTTATGTTGAAACAGGACTAAATGTTCAAATTTTCAATTTGCATTGCAAAAAATCTCCAGCGCTCACCCTGTTTTTGTTCACTTTATAAGTGTGTATTTAAAATCCAATAAACAAGTTTTGAATTTTTCTTGTTTTCTTACATTTTTCATGCCTTTTTGCAGTTTCTTAAATGTGACATATTATGATTCCTTGAACTGGTTTGGTCTATTTTCTGTACAAAATATATTCATAACATTTTTTGCCAAAAATAATTCTTGAAGCTAAAAAAAATACTTATATCAATGTGAAAAGCTCTTTCTGTTTGATTCATCCAACTCAGAACTAATCTGCTTATTTTTGGAATAACCAATTAATAAATGGATAGAAAAAAGTGCTTAAAAGATTTTTTTAATAGTATTTTAATAAGGTGAAGCTAATACAGCCACTAGAGGATTTTTTGGTAGAATATATTAACAGTATTTTTCACCATCTTAAATGCAAAATGCATTGGTTTTTTTGTACATTTTTTGGAGTATGTAGTATTCTGAGAATGATATTCTTTCAGCAAATGGCCTTTTTGAGTCTAAATACTCCAGTTAACGATTAATCAGAATGAATTGTGTATAATTATTCCACACTGGAAAATTACAGCTCGAATATGTCATTAAAACCCCGAAATCAACAAAAAAATACTCCAAATGAAACATTATCTTTTCAGGAAATTCTCACCCTACTATACAGTAAGCTTTTATTTTCCATAATGAAGAACAAACTTACTGATTCCAGAGTGAGATAAAGATTTATACCTACATGTTTTGTTTAGCGATATAAAAACCATCAGCTGGATATTTCTTAACTATTTGGGAGTCCTTTACTTTTTATCAGTTTCCAGTCGGCGGTGATGTTGATCCCTGCTGAGTTTGGACGGTTGTTGTCGAGTCTTTACCGTCTTCCGCTTCCGGCGCGTCAGAAACGGTCGTTAAAGTGGCGTCGTCTTCCTCGGCGTCAGCCTGTGAGTCGTCTTCGGCCATCAGCAGCTTCCGATGCTTCTGGTGGACCGCGGACTGATCTTCGTACGGCAACAAAGAGAGAGGAACGCGAACTGTGTCCTTCCCATTAACCTGGAGGACATTCCGAGAAGAGACGCAATTTATGGATTAATAATGAGTTAATCCAAAGTTGTCTGATCGACTAACGATTCATGAAAATGCGGCCATTTTCTGAAAAACAAAACCCGTCTTTCCATAGTATAAAGGGCTACATTCTTCATAATATGTTATTTTCATATAACTTTCTAACAACTGCATTAGATAGTGACTGAATAAACAAAAATTTGTTATTAAACCCAAGATACATATCACAAAACATAATAAACCAAGAACCATTTATGTAGCTGAAACGAATAAAATATGTGAAATACTGCAGCTCGGCTTAAGGAGCGCCATTAAGCAGAAACGTAAAGAGTTTATGTCGAATATTTATATTTTAAAACAGAACCGCACAAAGTGCATTTTTCATCCCACACCGGTCTGTTTTGCTCGTTACTCTCATGTCCTGGTACGGTCCCGCCGCCATCTTTGTTTCTGTTTCAACTTTTCCGCTGAAAGATGACTAGCTGCGCCCTCTGCTGGACGGCGGCCAAACTATAACACTAAAAGGTTTAGGGCGGACTTCATTAATTGAAACTAATTTTAATCTAATAACCTATTCATCCACAAGTAAAGTTAAGTCAGTTAATTATCTGTATTCTTAATTCAAAGGCAAAGTAAGCACATTGTTAATGTATTTCAAAGCAAAAAAAAAAAAAAGGTAACTGTCCAGAAGGTACTGTAAAAAGTAGAGAAAATGAAAGAGAGAAACTCACTGTAATATCACACCAGTACTCTCCCAGTTCCTTTATTGGCTCAAACGGCAGACTCAGCACATGAGGTGGAACAACAATTCCCAGCTGAAGAGGTGTGACAAAAACAAGAACAAATCAGCTGCTTATATTCTCACTCAAGTTATTTTGTACACAGTAATTCAGTCCAACAACCCATGAAAGAACTTCTACTACGCTGGCACAAAATATCAAATCGCAGCAGTCCTGGCTGTGTGCAAAAATCATGCCTGCAAAAAGTTGTTTGAATGCCATATTTTAACAGTATGCATGTATGTCAAGTGTCTTGCATTTGCATTTTGCATACCAATATTACATTTGACCACCTTGAAGAAGTGCCCCTGCTTTTCATGCACACACCTTTCCACACTGATATTGCAATTGGCTGTTTCAGATAAAAAACAATTAAAAACCCAATTAAGACCTAATTGGGCCATCATTATCAAATCAAAATGTCCTCTTGGCAAAAGGTGGTTGAACAAAGAAGGAGGCATCAAATTGATTATTAATTAAAGATTAGCGGCTTCAGTTATAGCTTAATTTCTTTTAAAATTTCTTTACCAGTGTTGCCAACAACAGTGAATACAAAATAAAAGTAGACAAACCTTCTTTTCAAACTGTCTGCAGACGACTTCTTTAGTGAGCTGGAAGTCGTCAGAAAACGTTTTGATGACTTTTAGATTAGATCGCTTAAGGAGCTCAACTGTCTGTAAATTAAAAAAAGTTGGAAAACATTCAGTAAAAGCAGTTCATTTTACATTCCAGTGTTTTCAGCCAGACGTAGGAGCAATCCTGAGTAAATGAATCATTAGTGCCAAATAAACTCACCATTTGTCCTGTTCTGGTTTGCACTCTCTGATCTGGTTGTCCCTCACGCAGAAGCTGTGTATAAATAAATGATATGAAACGGCTACATTTTACCGTTTTAAATGTAAAATGAACTGTTACGTTTAGAACGCACTTTCAGCTCCTCAGCAAACATCTGTTTATTCTCCGGTGATGGATAAACAGCGAGGCCTTGGGCCAGCAGCTTATTTCGCCCGATGGACTTCTTCACAAATACGGTGTCGCCTCTCCCACCAAGTTCTGTTATTTCAAACCAAAGGAGGAGGTTTTGACATGATATTTGACTTTGGTATCAACTTTGGGGGTGGGGGGTAGACACTCACTTTCTACAGTTTGGGTGAGAATGAGCTTCATCTTCTCCTTGGGAGCGTGTTTGGTATCCTCGACCAGCTTGTAGACTCTGTGTCTTCGGGGGTAAAGCCTTGGCGGACTGCCCTCTTTGGACAAAGGGACCTCCCACCATCGCTCCACTATAACCGTGTGCTGTGGACATTATTTAAATGATTTCAGCTGTCTTCACATTAAGAAAAGACATTAAAACACCACAAACAGGCAGGAATATCCTGAATTTAAATCAGAAGGGAACAATGGAGAAATCATCAGTTAATCAAGTTTATCTGTACAGCACATTTCAGGAAGTTCGAAGTGCTTTACATTGTGAAAACATAAAAGCATAGTCGACAACATAAGAACTGAGGTAAGAGAATCAAACGAGGTCCAGAGTTCGGACAGATTCTACATTTCAAAACTGAGAATTTTTCCAGTTTACTTTCATTGAACTAACTAGAGACTATTTGTTTATATCAGTATATTGAAGTAATGAGAACTTTGGTTTAGTAATAGTTTCAGTATGTCAATGTAACAAGCTTTATTTTTGAAATAATTGTATATCTATATTGTATTTAAAAAAAAGCAAAAGTCCATTATTTTATATGATGGAAAGTTTAATCATGTTGAAATTAAACTCAATTCTTACCGTATTAGCAACTTCACAATCTTACTGTGTCGAGAAAAGATTTTAATATTTGGTTTGTTATAATCACAGTTTCATAATGTCAGTTAATTGAGATAAGATTGTTGTGCTCTAACAATTACCTATTGCAATCATCTCACAATAACTTGACCTCAATCTCATAATGTTGAAATATTTTTATTTCATCTATTCTGGAGATAACTTGCTGTCAAGACCACCTGATATAAAACTCTCAGAATTTCATTCGTTTAAATAAAAAATACCTCATGCTTGTCATCATCTATCTATATAAAATAAGATTTAAAATTGAATTTTTGAAGATATCTACATTTTCATAATCTCGTCTTTAGTTGCCAACAATCTCATTATCTCATAATATCAAAATAACAATAACATGGTGGTTTTGTTGTGACCAAATGTATTTCCGGTGGTTTTTGACATGTTTATGTAAATTTATGTGAAAATTTAAAATGCTAAAGCAGAATTAGAAGAAAAAAAGTCAGAGCCCGATAGTAAAAAAAAGTCTGTCTCATAAATTGATAAAGGTTTGGCATGAATAAAAGTATAATAACCTGATAGTTTTAGAGGTGAAACTTCGCCACTGACCTGAGCAGGAGTCCGGGAGAAGCTCCGGACAGCGGGCTGTCTGAGCAGAACCTGAAGGGCGAAACGGCCGCAACTAAACATGTTGGTCCAAGACCGAACTGGGAACCAGGGCCGCCAGTAACCTCACCGATACCGGTCCCTCAGAGCTTCACCCGGCCCTCGGACCCAACACCGACCGACCACACTAACTAACCAATAAGCTAAACTCTGCTAGCTTCAGCCATGATGCTCTCACTACTACAAACATGCGTCCGTTGAGTGGCGTAAAAGCAGGCGGCAGTGCGCCATCTATCAGACTGGAGGAGGTACTACAGGCACTTATTTACTTTAGTGGAAAATGTGTTAGAAAATGAAGATTGTCATTTAGATGAAATGACAATCCAGTTTACACATTATATTCCCTGATAATGCTCTCATTAAACCAAACTTATAATCAAACTTATTGGACTTGCTTTGTTTATTTTGTCTATTATAATCCATGACAAATGTAAATAAAATCTATCCAGATAAATTCTCATAATAATGAATGTTATTTAACATGAGAGTGAATTATCTATTTCTCCAACAGTTGCAATATTACACTATTTGTTAAAAATGTTCACTTTAAAAAAACCCAACTTAAAACAATTAACATCCATATCCAGGTTATTGAGGCTGCAAAGTGGCGCAGTGGGTAGCGCTGTTGCCTTGCAGCAAGAAAGTCCTGGGTTTGATTCCCGGCCCAGGGTCTTTCTGCGCGGAGTTTGCATGTTCTTCCTGTGCATGCGTGGGTTCTCTCCGGGTTCTCCAGCTTCCTCCCACAGTCCAAAAACATGACTCAGGTTAATTGGCCTTCCCAAATTCTCCCTAGGTGTGAATGTGTGTGTGCATGGTTGTTTGTCCTGTTTGTCTCTCTGTGTTGCCCTGCGACAGACTGGCGACCTGTCCAGGGTGAATCCCGCCTCTCGCCCGGAACGCAGCTGGAGATAGGCACCAGCACCTCCCGACCCCGTTAGGGAGAAGGGTGCTCAGAAAATAGATGGATGGGTCCAGGTTATTGTTTCAAAATAAAAATGGATGGACAGATTTTCATTGTCATTTAAACGTGGAAAATAATTAATTAAGTTGTGTATTACTACAAAACATAGTTCCCAATACATAGAACTGGAAGTGCTCTGCGCCATCGTGGTAGGCAGAGAAACGTTACATGAGCTAAGCTATTTTTTTCTAGTTTGGCAGTAAGAACTACAGTAAATATCTCTGATATTTATCTTAGAACTACACAGAGGTGGTAGAGAACTACCAATTTGTAATCGAGTAATAGTTCTAACTAACTATAAAGTTTCCGAAAGTGTCACATCACATGAAAGCTATAAATAAGTACTTCTTATTTTGTCAAAACTGTAAGGCAACGTAATCAAATTCAGTCTTAGAAATGCTATTAATAATCACTCAGCATTCAGCCTTCCCATTTATAGCCATAATTATTATCATAGATTTAATGTCTGGAACACTTGCACACAATGTTAGCAGAATTAAAGAACAGTTTTACACTAGCTGAAAAGATTATAAAATCAAAACTGTAAGTGCGCTAAAGAATCTTGCCAAGAACAGTACAATGTACAAAGATTTCAAACATATACAACCAAAAGAATAATAATTACAATGATGATGGGTTGAAAACTGTTAAACTGGGCCTGATTAGAAATAAGGTAACAATGAGCTAAGCTATTTTTTTCTAGTTTGGCAGTAGCAAAGCATGTTGACAAAGCATGTTGCAAAAAGCCACCAATTTGTAATCAGGTCAGCAGAATAACAGATTTCCTTTTAACATTTTGCATTGTAAACATCTGGCGTCTTATCATATTTTGACTTAAAAGTATTGCGTTTTTGTAGGTGGGAAGCTGCAATGTGAAGAAGATTTGATATCTGATGAGTTATACCACAACCTGCAGAGAACAACAGACACTGAGTCGATGTTGAGGCTATAAGCCATAAAACATAAATTAAATTATTGCAAAAACATGTTTTTTAGAGAAACAAGCAGGGACAAGGCATGTAGGGTGGAATTTCTGGCTACAGCTACCTAACATTTTTCTATCTAGTGTACCAGCTTTAATAATGTCAAGAAAAAAGCAAGAAACTGTCAGCAATAAGACAGAAATCTACACAACCAGCAGGGCAACAATAACCTTCTCAGTCACTTTAAGACCTGAACCCTGATTTAAGTCACACATCCCCAGTTGCTGGCTCCTGAAAACTGGTTGCACCATAGAAGCTTTTGCGGTCTGGCAGCAGGTGGCGTCCTGCGAATACGGTGGTGCAGCAGGTGAGCAGAGCCATGCAGCAGCCGCAAACGAACACCAGGGCCATGGCGACCCACAGCAGCGTCGTCACAACAAAGGCGAACTGGTAGGTTGTCTTGTGGCAGTATAGACCTTTATCAGAGTAGTTTGGAGGGTAAACTGAATAAACCCACGAGGAACCTAGAGGAAGAATGCACAAGAAGATAACGTGCATGAGATTTTAATCAGCTCGGCGGTCAGAACTAGAGAAATGCAGTTGCTTTCCAAATTTTACTGCTGCTCATGTTTTGGATTTCTGAAACTAAATTTTTTTTAAATGCATTTTTGCAAGAATAATCTCTGCAGGCAAACATGAATTCTGCAAAACCGGGACTTATTTAACCAATAAAATACCAGAGTGCCACTTCTGTTTTCCATTTTTGCAGCTTAAAATCCACACCGAATGTAGCTCTGTGCTAAAAGAATGGATAACATAAAGGAGATGTAAAGGAGCCAACCATTTCTCAGACAATAAAAAATAAAAAGTACTAAGAACCCTTTGGCTCCATCAATGAGGTAGGAGATGGACATAGTCAACAGATTGTTTCTGGATGTTACAATTTAGGGGTGAGTCTGAAAAAACCTCCAAGATTTGTAGCATGATCTGTTGTCTTTAGCCTCATTGGACCTATCTTATTGCTGATCTCCCCTTCTTTTTTCTTTTCTTTTTTTTTAATTAATAGGACTACAAACACTGACTTATGTCTTTGCTTCAATAATCTTTAAAAAATCCTGAATCACTGACCAATCACCTTGATATCAAGGACATGCTTGAACATAATTCAGCATCATGATGACAGAAATATGAAGGTTTGTGTCGTGAAAATAAATGTTGTTGGGTGGTTGTATGGATGCTGAATAAAAGTGAGACAAGTTTGCAGCCTTGAGGAACTCCACATTTGCTTTTGTCAGTAAATATAAAGAGACACTAACTTAAAAATAGTTTGGTAAATATAAAACTTTACAAATAAAAGTGAGTATCTGAAATCCTATTAAGCAAGAAACTTAATTGAAATTATATTTTTTAGCTCTTAACACTTTCATTGCTGTGAAGAAAGCTTTTTTTTTTTCAAAAAAAGCAGTATATTTTATCAAATGTATTTGTCTCCTGCATTCATTTTTAAACAGAATGAACAAATTAAAAATAGCTGCAGTTTCAATCTTAATTTTCCATTGTACTCCAAGTGAATTATTGCTAAGTATCACAAAATAACACAAATGCAAAGGCACTCAAGCATTTTTTAGCACATAAAATCAGGAAGCGGTTTAATGCGAAGTGGTAAACATCCCCCTGACCTGCTATCAACCAGGCGAAGCTGAAGATGTGCAGGACAGTCATGCAGGCCAAGCTCAGGACGTGACAGGCTCCGTCTTGGAAGCCGCTGGTGCAGTAGGTGAAAGCCAGAGACAGGAGGCTGCTCGCTCCCAGTACCACCAGGTAAATGGGAATGTTGGGCTGCACGGTACAGCGATCCATGTGTGTGGCACCTGCACAGAAGCTGCAAACATTACACCTTTATCTGCTCAGAACTGGAAGTGTAAGTAGAAAAGTTAACCCACCCAGTCCAATGCCTGCGATCATCACCATCCACCAAATCATGTTCATCACAACTACAACAGCAAAGAGATTAGAGAGAGATTAGAAACTTTTATTTCAATTATATTCTGAAGTAGCAGACGAATGGCTTACCAGTCGTTGCAATCAGTGCGGCGCTTTGAGGCCTGTTTTCCATTGTTAGAGGTTGGATTTGATTCGACCGAGACAGTTTTACCGCGAAAAGAAAACTTTTAAATCTTCTTTCTTGTTCTAGGTTAAGACTTCTGCATGGGTTGGTCTGAACACGTTGATAAGTGACAGCGTTTGCTGTTTGAACAGGATGTGAAGTCACTTGGTTGAAACATTTCAACCACTATTTTGCAACAGCCTCTGCTTCAAAGAGGAAATAATGATAAAATCAGAAACTCTCATCTGATGCAAACAAATCAGCATCCAAAAATATGGCTCAACCACTCCGACGGAGGCCTCTCTTTTTCTTGCAAATCTGACTTTTTAGAAAATGGAGAGGCTCATCTGTATTTCAACAAGTCTACAACCAATTTAATTCAAAATCAGCTGAAAACCCACAAGGTGCAATTTCCTGTGGCCTGATATCTTTCTGAAGAGCAACTGGATGCTAAAACAAGACAGACGGCTGATGCATGAACTTTGGGTTTAGAAAATTATGAAGAACCAAAAGGTGCATTATGTTAAAGTAGAAAATAAACTTTGCTTTTTTCCTTGACACTTTTCAAAAGATTAAATTAAACGCATGTAGAGTCTTCTTACTAATTTGGTGCCCTCTAGTGGTGGTTGGTTGCACTGGAATTTATTCACAGGTTTCAGAGTTAATAGGGGTAGAAATGCATCCTAAACTCGTCAGATTTTTATTTCTTGAAATATTTCAAAAACCAGCGATGCACTTTTGCACAGCTGGTGGCGCTGTTGCCTTGCAGCAAGAAAGTCCTGGGTTTGAATCCCGGCCTGGGGTCTTTCTGCATGGAGATTGCATGTTCTCCCTGTGCATGCATGGGTTCTCTCTGGGTATTCCGGTTTTCTCCCACAGACCCACAGACCCAAAACATGACTGTTAGGTGAATGAACGTGTGTGTGTGTCTCTGTGTTGTCCTGTTTGGACTTGACACTTGTCCAGGTGTATAGATATAGATGTATAGATTTTAAAAACCCTGGCTCACTGCCGAACATCACACTTGTTTGTGTTGGTGTATGTCATAAAATTCCTAATAAAATATCTTAAAGTTTGTGATTCTGATGTGATACAATGCACAAAAAAAATGTTTCAAGAAACAGAATTACTTTTTGCACAATTTAAACTAAATATTTATATATATTAAATATTTTGTGTTGTTTTTTTCTATTTATTACTGAGTTGTTCTTTGGGGGTTTTTTGTTGTTCCTTTTTATCATAGTTAGTCAATGTTTCTATTTTATTTGCCCAACTTTTACTGTTACTCACTGAAATACAAATAAAGCAATATTCTATTCAGAAAACAGTCAGGGTTTATTAGATGAGGTATTATTCCAACTTTTCTAAACAGCAGAGGAACTCGATAAGACTGGAAAAAATGGATCATAACAGGAAATGAAAGCACAAATAGCTTAAACAATTTCATTTATTTGTATGAGGTCTTGTGTTCAAATTCAAAATAAAATTTACTGTTTTTTTCCCCCAAAAGCTAAAGAAAATACTTCTTTTTTTAACCTATCACTTTCTTAACGACAGGTAATGATTAATGAGTAGAAAACAGATTTGGTTTAAAAGTTTGCATATTTTTCTGGGCTGCTGTTGTTAGAAATCTACTGAATTTTTACAAACTTTTACTGCTGAGTTACAACAACAGTATGTGTCAGTTAGTAGCTGCAAAATGCTTGACCATATACCTGAAATAAAAATGCACAGGTTTCACATCTGTTTTGTTGGTTTTCACAATCTCTCTCAGTTGGAAATTAACGATGGTTTGGATGATAGGAGCAGCTGGGAAGTCCATGCATATGATTCCGAGGCGCTGGTTCTGGTCGGTCTTGGACTGCAGGTACTCGTGCAGCTGTGGGTTGATTCCCTTTGCGACAGCTCTGGGGTGCGCGAACACGCCAGCTCCACTGGCGTAGGTCAGAAATATCTGACCCTGATTTCCTGACGGTGCGGCCTCCAGGTGCTTGTAGACGCTCTGCCACTTCTCCTCCAAATTCAGCAGAGAGGGAACCTGCAGGCGGCAGCCAACGTACGTCACTGGAAATACTTAGAGCTACAATGAGAGCAAATTTATTAGGCTACCGTGAAAATTTACATTTTTGATTAAAAAATAATAGACGCTTACTTCTCTTCTTTTTTAGTTTCACAGCCATGCTTGTGTGATTCTTGCTGGATTTAGAGGTTTAATCTCATTGGCCAATAAGTCAATAGTCAATAATCATTGAAGTGACAAAATTAGGTTTAAAAGCAACAACATATCATGCCCATTCCAGTGGACATGGAGATAAACGTCTAGATAAAATCAGAAACAAAACATTCACTCTTCATACCTTCCAAGCATCAGCTATATCCAGGGAACCGTAGCGCATTCCTAGATCTGGGCCGGTAAAATCCTGCAGGATGATGAGCTTCCCTCGGGCCTCAGCCATGGTCGGCACCAGGCGGCTGTGCCACAGCTGGTCCCAATGGCCGTAGCGATGGATGAAGTCGACCACAGCGCCGTAGATGTTATTCGTCTCACTGAACTCTTCTTTCACACGCATCAGCACCGTCTCACTTGGGTATTGGTGCAGGAAGTCAAACACGCCCTCTAGCACATGTCCAAAGTGAGCCCACTGGTAGGAGACTCCGTGGTGGATGGTGAGATTCCCGTTGACATGACGCACGCGGACATCTAGAAAACGGATGCCGGCTCGGAGCTGGGAGGCCAGCGTCCAGGTCTGACACTCTGCGTAGACGCCGCCGTACAGAGACATAGTGTTGTGTGTTCCTGGCATCGTGACAGCAGACAGCGGCTGATCATCAGGGATGCTGGCCATCCAGGAAGGGTTCAAGAACTCAGGGTTTGGAGTGTCATCATAGTCGGGTCTCTGGATTGCTCCATAACTGAACCCCACGACTCTAAAAACAAAATGAAACCGGTTCATCATACTGTCCAGGAACGTCGCAACTCAGTGGCATTCTGATGTCACCAGGTGACGGATGCTTGGGAAAGAATGTCTGGATGTGCCAAAACTTTCTCTAGCTGAACAAAAACAAAACTGAAATGATTATCTTTGGACCTCAAAAGGAGTGATCCACACACAGCTTCAGTATTACAGCTAGAAACTAGAGATCAGATCTTCAGACCTGAACCTTCACAAACACATAAAGACGGTTACAAAATCAGCCTTCTATCACCTGAAGAATATTTCCAGGATTAAAGGTCTGGTTCTCTTGACATATTACTAAAATGTAATATGAGTCAAGTTGAGTCGTACTCTCTGGTCCAGTACTAAACTGGTTTGAATCTCATATAAAGAACAGAGATTTCTTTGTTTCAATATGTAACTTCTCATGGAAGCGGACAGAAGTAATATCTGGGGTACCCCAAGGTTCAATCCTAGAACCCCTCTTATTTAATATCTATCAGCTGCAGCTGATCTGACTAAAACCAGGAAGATAGAGGACATTCACCAATTTTAAAGTCCCCACCCAGGATCCCTGTAGCTCAGAGAATAAACCATTAAATACTGTTGTTAGTTTATAAATCACTGAGAATCTGATGTTGTTGTATCAGCCTTCCAGACCTCTCAGGTCTTCTGGCTCGGATCCTGGTTCTGCTCTGCATCCAGAACAAAACCTGGAGAAGTAGCATTCAGTGTTTATGCACCACAAATCTGGAACAAACTTCCAGAAAAGATGGAAACACTGAAATTATACATCCAGAATTACTGGCATTACGGCTGCGACTAATAATTATTTTAGTAATCGATCGTTATATTAGGAGAAAAAGGAGAAAGATTGCAAGATACCAGAGGGTGGCACGAAAAGTAGCAACATCTCAAACAATCAGATTGGAAATTAAACCTTTGGCACACTGGTCAATAGTGAATAAATGAATAAATGGACAAAAGATTCAGTCAGATTCGTTACAAAGTGGCTCAAGGACAACAAGGCAGCGTTTTGGAGAAGCCCACAGTCTGACATCTTATGCAGTGTGTGTAAATATATGCCATTATCAAAAAATACATTTCATAACAACCATAATTATAAATGTGCACCAAAGATGGACTGTGATTGTTTAACTTTGTGTTCCCTGTGTCAGTGTGTGGCCTGTTTGAGCGTCCTCACCCCAGCAGGAGCACCAGCTCTGGTAACAGCTTGAACATTTTCACTGATGTCGTTCCTTTTCCAGTCCTAAAAAACAACATCGTGTAAACGATACAACGAGAGAAAAAAAGAATCATAAAGCTAGCATTCAATTTGTTATAATTCTCAGTAAAGGTGAATAATAAAACAGACAAGATGTCTAATTAAAAAACTGCTTTTAGTGTCCATTCAATAATCAAACGTTCTGGTTCAAAGCCAGCTCAGCCTTTCGCTCACCCATACTGACCACTTCAATGGCCGACTTAAACCCTCCTAATCCCAAAAAACTGAACGCACTGCTGAGTCAAACATGCTGCTCAGTTCAATAAAGTTCATACCTGAAACTCCAGTTCAGTTCAGTCCAGTCGGTCCGGCCCAGTTACCAGTGGACGATGAACAGAAAGAGCAGGACAGAAAGAAGCGGGGACAAAATGACAGCTAGAGTGTCAACCGGGGTTTTGTAGTGAGAGAAACTGCAGAAGAGCAGCTGAGCCGCAGGTGGGAAAACACATGAGGGGAGGAGCTCATGTGCTTTGGAAACTAGAGATCGGATCTAGTTTCCAAAAGCGATATTTACAAAATATCGCTTTCTAAATGTATAACAGTTTTAAAATGACTTATTTATATAAAATAGTTCTAAAATCGACCAGTTTTTACAATTTGCACACCAAACTTTATATGAAACTGTAAAACCCTGTTTATTCAACCTGTCCAGGTGTCGTGAGCTGATTAAACAAGTACAGAAATAGCTGGATATTTGTTCAAAATAGAAACTATTTACACACGTCTACCGCAGCTGACTGTTTTCTCACTGTTTTTTTTCTTTATCATTACAACGCATAAAAGGAGGAATTTGAATTACAGTGCTTCACAAAGGTAAACTAACCTGTTGAACTTTGTCATGAATTTCAATGTATTTTGCTGGCAACAAAGTAGCAACCATTTGAGGAAAAGAAGAAGAAAGAAAAATGATGCATGACTTTCGCAGTTTTTACAGATTAAATATGAAACGTTGGATATGCTGGAATAAATCATTTTAGAAGTTCCAACATGTATTCCTCAAGGTTTGAGCTTCATCTCCTTGAACCAGCTTGTCTGCACCCACAGCATGATGCTGCCACCACCAGGTTTATGTCAGTAATGCTATGTTCAGATTGTGTTCACTTCACTTTATTTATTTCAAACAGACAAAAAGTAAAAACAGAAAAGATAATAATAATTATGCCCACTGACATGAAATTTTCCATAATTTGTTCGAAAAGTAATATATCTTATGATTTTCTGTTTCTCTTATATTCAAGAACTAAATAAACTCCTGAATTATTCACACATAAAATTACAAGTAAAATTCACATTCTCATTGTTAAATGCACAATTATTTATAAACTTTTAATATCGACAATATTAAAATTTACAACACATTACACTGAACTGTACTGTGTTGTAGAAGAAACACTGACAGCAGAAAGGAGTGTGTGATTGGTGTGTGTGACATCTAGAAAAGTCAGCATGACTTTCCCGTTTTGATCTCAGATCATCACAGTAATTTAAATATTACACAATAACCTTGTGCAGTTATGTAACGCCATGTTTAGTCAATTGCTAAAAAAGGTAACATATCCAAACTGAGCAGAAATTCCTATAGTTTGGCTTAAATACTAAAACTACAGGATGAAGAACTAAAGAAAATGTAAGATTTTGAGTAAACATTACAGTAATCTTGCACAAATGTGTCAACTTTTTAAAGTGTCTACTTCTAAGACCAAAATGTAAATAAATTAAATAAATTGATTGAACACATTCTTTCTCAAATTAAAAATAAAATTTCCCAAAACCTAAATGCAAAGACATTCTCAAAACTGTGTTGATTTCCTTCTGAATGACACGTGTAAATAAAGTCTATGACTTTAGTTACAAGTAGAAGGAATACATTTATGTGAAGATGTAATGGCTAATTAAAGTATGTACAGTAAATATTTCTACTATTTCTGAAAACAAACCAACATTATTCTTATCTGGTCAACCAAACTAGTTATGAAGATGTGGCTGGAATGCTTTACATTTGGAGGAAGTTCTCTAATCCTGTCGGTGCAGAAAAAATATAAACTTTCTTTGAGACCACATGCTTACACACATTTTATAGAAATATAGACATCATCCTTGCTTTCAGAAATTGAATCCGACTAAACATTTTCCTGTATTATGTTAAATTAGGATTACCAAAATCTTATGTTTGTAAAATGTCAGAACAATTTTTTAGTAAATGGTAGAACTGTCTTTGAAATTCTGTGATTTCAGCCACATTTTGGACTTAGATTTAGTCCAAAGATACTAACAAAACCTTTTCAACTGTGTTATGAATTTGTTTTGGACTGTGATGAAAACTTTGCGAAGGCCATGCCATCGTTAAGCCACTTTGTAATTAATCTGGTTGTATCTATGTGTTTTTGAAAATAATGCTTCAGTATTTCCACATGATGATCTGTTTTGTTAAATTCACCAGTCCCTGGTGCAGCAAAACAACCCCGCAACACGATGCTGCCACCACCGTACTACACAATTAGAAAAAGTATTTGGGAACTGTAATTTGACTTTCTGTTTCAAATGGTGTAATGGCCTCTTCCTCGCTGTCTTACCAGCAAGTCTTTTTGCTTTCGTGTGCATGTCATGTATCGTACATAAACCACAGTACAAGACAGGCTTTCTTACAGGAAAATAACCTGTTCTTCTTTACTTACTGGTAGACAAACTATCAGTTGTTTTAGTAGGAAAAGACAGGCTTTCTTCCAGAAAAACCTGTTCTACTTGCTGGAAAAAAACTGTCAGTTGTTTCATTATCTGTTTGTTTATTTATACATATTTTTATATATTCATATTTAAAGTTAGTTTCTTCTTATAAGCAGAAACCCTTGTTTTAAAAAATTCACAACTTTTACTGGAAGGTAGTGCAGTCAGTGTTGCTTATGAAAAAATAATAATGAAGAGGCACAAACAAAAACAGAAAAAGATTGTATTTAAATGTAAACTTACAATCTGAGAAAAAGGTGTTGGTGTTATCACAGTTTTAGGTTTTATTTTTGAGACATTTGAACTTTTAGCCAGAGAACTGTACTTTAATAAACATAAGGTTAATTTAACATACAAAACCAAAAATTTTTCTGGTCATCAAGTCAAAGTAGTAATCCTTAACAGTGTATATTGCTATCTGTAGCTATTCTGTAGCCCTCAGGATTGGGATACATATTGTTTTAAATCAACGTACTGCAATAACAACCTTTATCACGACATTAATTCCTTTGTGCATTTGTTATAAGTAAATAGAAATAAGGGGGGAAAAAATTTAAATATAAGGTCAAGTATGATTTTAAGCAACAGATTAACTTTTGTGTGGTCGACTTGTTTTTATTTTGTGTATTTTAACTAATTTATTTTTATCATTTTGCTTACTTTGTGTTGATGGAGTTAGAAATAAAATAAAACCACAGACTTATTTTACATAGATAAAAGTCCATTTATAGAAATATAGTGTTTAGTCTATTCTCATTCTAGTGCTCTGTCACACGTTTTAAAAACTGACGTCAATCCTGTAATTAAAATGAAAACAAAGCAAGCAAAAATGTATGAGAAGAATTTTAATGAGCTCTTAGATTAAAAAAAAAAAAGTATTTGAATACGTGTCAATAAGTATGTTTTGCTTTCATTTCTCTTTACTACAAATTTCCTCCGTGTGTGGTTTCTCGGTTCAGGTATGAGGATGGGAGAAACTAATTACTAAAATGAAGGTCAAAAAGCCTGTGGTTAGAACTCCAGTGACGCAGATGAAGGAAGTCCTCCTCAACCAATCAGAACAGGTCCGCCTCCAGCCACTTCCTGATACTTATGCCCTTATTTGGCAATGAGGGGTTGGCTTTGGCTAACTGGTGTGGAAAATGGTGGCAAGGAGATCCAGACAGCGGCTGTAGTCGGACGGGACACAAACAGTTTTATCTCTGGTGAGTAAACACGGCGGGCCTTTCTGACTGTTTATCTCTGATCGGGAGGAGTTTTAGGATCTTTGTGTGATAGCTGGGTCCAGCTGGGAACCGACAGGATCGTGGCAGGTTCAGTCATGTTAAGCAGCAGGAAATCAGGAAATGGGAGCTTGAGAACAAACGCATCTGGAGTTTCACATTGAAGCAGGCAGCTACCAGAGGCTGTTTTAGGATGCTAAACAACTTTCCTGGATTAGAAGGTCATGAACCTGCCGGCATTTTCCTCGTTTCCAGTTCGGCTTGTGTTAGTAGAGATGGGGACACACCTACTGTTGTTTCTGAGTTATTTTTCCAGCAGAACAAGACTGAGCGGGATGATTAATGTCACAACTATGACAGGGATCCAATACAACACGATTTGTGCTGAGGTCCCAATAATTTAGTTTAGTCTGTGTAAAATAATACTGGAGCCATTAAAAACACTGCCTCTTTCTGGTGTATGTTAGCAACATTCGTATATGGTTTTATATATAAATGCTTTACATATTAACATGGGATTCTCCATATCTTTGACAATTGTTATTCCTTTTTAGTGGTTTGGAATAAATGTCAGATAGGTAAAAACATCATCCAACCTAGAAGCAATTATATTATATTACATTTAAAAACACAGTGATGGAAAATATTCTGCCTTGATGTTAGTTTTTTTAGGGTAAATATTGCAATAAAATTCTTAAATGGAGATGAAAACTGTTTCCAAATGTCTGATAGACTATTTTGTTGGGGAAGAAAATCAGTTGATTTAAAAAAAAAAAATTATGTTATTTTACTTCTAAACATTACACCTTTGAGTTGATTTTTAAAAACGTCTTAACTCAGAGTTTGGTACAAGGTCACAAAATATCTTTTTTGGCATTTGGGAAATAATATTGTTGAACGACGTATAATTTTTGTATTATATTCAATCTATTTATCCTCCAGAGTCAATCAGACTTGCAGTTATGGCTGATGCTCAACAAATCAAGAAAACCGCAGCAAAAGTCTTGTGCTGTGTGGAGAAAGTGTCTTCCTTTGCCTCCTCCATCGACCCCATCTTTGGCGTCGTCTCTTCTCTGGTTGGTGTGGCAAGAAAGGGCCTGGCGGATGATGAGAGCCACGCCTTAGACAAAGACTTTCAGGCAATCCACGCCAAACTGGAGAGCATCTCCGAGAAAAACAATCAATGCCTCAGACAGATCCGCATCGACGAGGTGAACGAAACATACGGGAAGTATGAGGAGTACATCAAGCACCAGTACAATGCCTTCAACAGCATGGTGGCCCAGGTGAAGAAAGACCCAGACAATGCCCAGAGGTACATGGAGACCTTTGAAAAGATTTACGAAAGAGACAAGTCAGATCTGGGCCTGGATGTGTTCTATCGCGGTGTGATGGGTGTAAAAACGGTGTTTGGAAGAGCTCTGCTGGATGTGTACTTCGATAACTGCAAGGGAGACCACGAAATCATGGAGCGCCATTGCTCTCATATTGCGCATCTCTTCCATATGGGCCTCATTGCATTGATGGGGTTCACTGCTGTCACTGAGGATGATGAAGACGAGGTGCGCGAAAAGTGGGCCAAGAGGGTGTCTGAGATCCAGATGAAGATGGAAGACGTTCTCAAACAGTGTAAAACCAACTCGACCTGAACCAAGAAAGAAAGAATGTTCTCTGGATTTGCTGCCAGAGAACATCCTGGCAGCAAATCCAGACTAGTCTTAAGCAGGAAAAATAATTAGTTATGTAATATTTAAAAAAATATGTACACTTATAGAAAAACCAAAGCCATGTTACATGTGCGCATGGGTGCTTCGCATCGACTCAATTTGTTATGACCAATATAACTGTATGCTGCTTTGTGTCACATCTCAATAAATGCTGAAGTTTTATACAATCTGTTCAACTTAATGAATAAATTATTGTCAAAGTTGCTCCATTTTTGTTTCCAGATTACTTTCTCCAGCTCACAATCTGTATGTCAAATACAGGAGACAGAAAATAAACGCAAGCCTGATTGAGCTGGCTAAAACACTTAATCTGAAAAGGAGAGTTCACTCCCTAAAGCCACTCTTCCTTTTTAACAAAGCGCAGATAGAACTCAAATGTATCCATCCGTATGTTATATAAAAACATCATTTCCTCAAAAGTGACTCATAATCCATCTATTGAACGTGGTTGAGTAAAAACTGGTTTTGGGAGTAACCAAAATGTATGATTCATCTTCTTGGTGTCGAAATATTTTTCTGTCATTGTTGAATGTGACAATGAAAATGGGGTGGCTTGATGTTCAGCAGTAATAAAAACTTGTCATCATGAGTTATTGTTAGGCGGAGCTTTTTTTAGAGTCAAACTTTTATGTTGCCGTGTAAGGGAAACTTAAACCATAGGTATTTGAGGTATGATGAGCTTGTGTAAAAACACTGTTACGTGGTATTCACACAAATATTTGGAATAAAAATGTATGTTTACCATTATTTAAATAAAAAAAGAAGCAATATTGCTACTTTGATACTGCCAAAGATTGTAGTCTAGTATTAAAGAGAAGCAGCAAAGCAAATGAGGTTGATTAGCAGAGGTTGTCCACAACTCATAGTGTCATTCATGAGTTTGTATCAAATATTGTCTCTGCTGTGCGTAAACTGAGCTGTTGGCATTTAATGACACTCCTGAGACTGCTCTGCAGCAACAATCTTCAGTCAGAGGCCTCTTAAAATGTCTTGCCAAACTGACTGCTACTGGAGATCCTTCCTAACAATATCCACAGTGACTGAAGATACTTGGATGATATGAGTTAAGATGTTTCATTTTCCTTTGGGCTATAGGGCTTCTAAAAAAATTACTCTAAAAAAAGAATAGAACAAAATGTAAAAAATGTAGCAATAGATTTCAAGAGCTAATTGTGCAATATACTACACCTTTGACTCTTTTTACTCTTCATAGATTAACACTGACAGCATAAATCCTCCATTGATCACTTTTATTAATGTGCTGGAATCTAACTTAATAAGCAAGGCTTCCACTTTAAAAAAGAAATTGCAGTTGCTTGTTTTGTGTATATTTATTAATTTACCACATACTCATTTTCAGATAAAGCTAGTTTACTTCCTGTTTTGTGTTTTTCCAAGACGTTCGATGGTTGCCTAGTAACCGTGGTAAGCTAACTAGCAACAGGTTAGTATGAGCTTATTTTAGCTGTTGAGAGGAAACAACACAACACTAATGACGATGAGAACAATGATCGCCCCAATATGTTTGTAATGTTTTAGTGCATTATTTATGCTTAAAATAAATGTTATGGAAATTTCGTTTTTATCTATTTGGTTTAGATTAAGCTTGAGTTTGACCGATTTTGCTAGTAATTTGTGGTGGTTTTCGGGTAAAAACATAAGAACGCGTCACCCTGCTGCACCTGCTCTACCTCAGCACCAGAGGTCGCTGTTGTGCTGCAGCAGCAGCTGCCGCCGCCCGCCTCATTGAAACGTAACGTGATTCCTCTGTTTGTGTCTGCAACCCTGCCCTGACTGAAAAGGCCTACGACTGCTTCAAGGTCCCCCAGAAACTCCGCTCTCTCCGGTCGGTGACCTGGAGAAACTTTCTGGCCCCGACTTGCGTGTCAAAGCCGCAGAAAGCCACCGGGGGAGCCGAGCGGAAGAGAAGCTCGGTCCGTTTCAGGAGCGGACTCGGTGAGTTTCAGCTGATTGTGGAGCGGAAAACGGGGTAGCACCCTCTGCTAAACAACAAGCTGATGGAGCAACTGCACTTTATTTGGTCCTGACGAGAAAACATATGTAAACACGCTACACCTGACAGGAGAGCGTGCGTTCAAGAATAGGATATATATTATAGTTTATGAAAACAAAACAAAACAGTTTGAAGTTAACAGTTTGATTTCCGGGGCGTGACCTTCCTTTGAACTCAAGTCGCTTTGTGAGATGTTGGTTATTTTCATCCCTTGAATATTAATGTATTACTAAATAAATAACAATTACAGGAATTCTATTGGTTTACAATGTAAACTTTAAGGAAGTTTGACAAAATCTGAAGTAGTTTTTAGGTCGATAAAAGCCTCAACGACTTTGTTGTGGTTGATATTGATTACTGCATTTGACTCCATGTGACTGCTTGAAATATGTTTAATACATTAAAGTAAATAAGCTAAGCAATAACTCAATCTGCTTTTTTGTTGTTGTTATATTTTTCCAAATTTGTGCAAAAATTAGTAATGAACCCCTGATAAATAATGGCTTGTTTCTAGAGGTTTTTAATTTGAGCTTTATGACCTAAAAAACAATATTCAAGTTAATTTGTTTAATTTTATTGTTAGTTTTTATCATGTATACAGCTTCTTCCTGTTTTGAGTAAAGCTACAAAAATTTTAATCTCTATCTTTCTGTGTAAATTGGACAACAAAAGTCAAGAAAACCAAAATACATAATTATTATAAGTATGAAAACAAAAGTATCTTAAAAATCACATCTAGAAAAAAGTGGAATTGTTTGAGCATAAATTCAAAAGTTGAGAAATGTTATAAAAACATTTCTGAAGAGAAGGAAATAGAAACAAGATTTTGAGTAGAAACATGATAATATATTTATTTTTTGATGTGAATGTACATGGATTGAATTCAGCATTTACTTAAAGTTAGAATGAAACAGTTAATTGGATATATTGTGATTACTCCATTATTGAAATAATCGTCAACTAATTTATTAATCTGATTAATTGTCAACTGGAGTATTCAGACTAAAAATGTCGATTTGCTGGGAAAAAAAACATGTAAAATAATAATAAAAAAATGGACAAAATGGAAAATATATACCTTTTGCATAAACATTTTTCAGATTCACTAGAGGAATGCTGAGTAAGAAATAAAATGTTATTTTTTTAATTGAAAGAAATTTAATTATTTGATTGAGTTGTATGTTTCTAATATTGTACTAAAAAGCCTTAAATGGTTAAATAAAAAATATATAGTGTCCCATTTGTTTGAATCTCATTCATCATCAGAATATTCAATTACTGAAATAATAGTTGTGCCCAAGGGTAAATCTTATGTAATGTTTACAAAGTGGATTATAAGCCTGGCAGGCCACCAGGCTTCACTTGAGCCTCCACCTGGCTTAGGTTTGTTATTTATTTTAGGGGTCTTTTGTAATCATTGCCTTTTTTACGGCTTTATAGTTGGTGTTTAGGTATTAATCTTCCAGTCTTCTAGTAACGCATAACTATCAGGTGATATTTTAAAATTTGCTGTCAACTTTAAACGTCTTTCGTACTTAAAAACATGGCGGCTGGCTGGATGAATGACTGCTCTTGAGCTCAGAGCACTGGGCTTAGTAAGTTTTCTGGGGGAAACCCTGTTTACATTTATGATTGAAATGTATATCTAAAAAAATAATATATTTTTCTAGGTGTTGCATGAGAAAAAGCAGCTTTGATGCTTTCTGTTGTTTTAGACATGCCTCTACTCGGTATCTGGCCTCCCTGTTGGACAGTAACCTGCGCCTGAGGAAAAGACGGCACAATGGGCAACGAGGACAGCTCAGAAGACGTCTATGTTGCCGTCATTCGTCCAAAGAACCAAGTCAGCCTGACTTCAAAGGAATACAGGGCCAAAGCTTATGAGGTATGCCGAGCTAGAATTAAATATTTCTAGGATTTGTTTAATAATTCAGTCTTTTTTCCCTTTGGCTTGTGAAGATCCTGTTGAAAGAAGTGCCTTTGGAGGGGAAGGAGAAGAAGCGGAAGAAAGTCCTTCTGGTGACAAAAATTAAGCTAGGAGACAAATCTAAATCCATATTGGATTATGTTGACGAAACTATAAAACCAATCTCCAATAACCAAAGCTTCATAGGTGAGGATGAGACTGGCTCGCACAAACTCATTGTCTGACAACCTGAGAACTCAAGAGTTTTACTTTGCAGGAAAGCGTGTGGTGCACATGAAGAAATTTATCCTTGAAGGAGACAATGAAGAGAAAGAAGCTTCTCTGTTTGTGGTGCCAGTCAGCGTTAAAGGTGAGTTTAAAATGGTTTCACTGTTTTTTATTTTTCACATTTTGTCATGTTTTGTGTGACAGACCAACACAAAGTAGTGCTTGATTGTGATGTGGAATAAGAATGTTTTTTTGGGATAAGTTTTTACCAGTTTTGCAAAGTCTCTCAGTCAGTACAGTGTAGGGTTGATCTGTCGACTGGTTTTGGGATTTAATAATAGCTGGACAGCAAAAGGTGCTTAATTTGAGGTCTATTTCACAGAATTTGAACCGGATGAAGCTTAAACTATGCCGTGGTACTCAGGCGCTACAGGAATCATTCACAAGAAATTTTAAAATATCATTTGATATTTATGGATTTTTGGAAGACTGGAAGATTAAAACCTAAGCACCAACTGTTATATCAATCATTAAAAAAAACAACTGATAAATTAACAATGCCAAGCCTGGTGGGGGCACAAGTAGGCTGCCAGGCTTATAATACACTGAGGGAAATCCTGAATTCTTACATGAACAATAATAACATTTAACTTGTATGCTTTCTTTGTTTTCACTTCCATGAAGACCAAATTTGTGGCTCTCAATGTGAATGATTTAGAGAAGTGTTGATACTTGTGGATGACGCTGTAGTTGTATTAATGAGTCTTCCTGCACAGATAACAGCAAACCCATCCACGTCTCTGGGAGCCCCAGCTTCTACTGTTTCCAGGACATCATGCGTGTGTGCAGTGAGACCAGCCCTCACTTCTGCTCCATCACATCCAAGATGCTCCTGGCTTTAGATAAGTGAGGACACTTCCTTATTATCCTGCTGGCTGTGTTGGGATGAGTAGATCAGGCTTGAGTTTTTCTGTTTTTTTTCCACCACTGCAGATGGTTAGCGGAGCAGCACACCGTCCCCCACGCCATCCCCGCCCTTTTCAGGCCGGCTCCTGTTGAGC